CGGCGAGCGAACCACTCGCGCAGCTCCTGTGGAGAGAGGGGCTCCCGGCGAGACGCAGCAGCAGGAGAAACCCCAGGCTCAGCAGCTCCAGACGCAGCACCCCCAGGCTCAGCAGCTCCCAGCTCAGCACCCCCAGGCTCAGCAGCTCCCGACCCAGCACCCCCAGACCCAGCACCTCCAGGCACAGCACCCCCCGGCTCAGCACCCCCAGGCTCCGCACCCACCGCAGTAGCACCCTCAGGCCCAGCACCCCCAGCAGTAGCACCCCCAGGCTCAGCACCCCCGCGCACAGTACCCCCAGAGTCAGCACCCCCAGGCTCAGCACCCGCAGCAGCACCAGAGTCACCAGTAACCTCGACCGGGTCAACGGCGTCTACCTGGGACACACCTGAGGGGGCAGGAACCTGAGGGGGGAGGGGGTCTACCGGGGGGGGAACCGGCACAAGGAAGTCCGGGGGAGGGGGGAGGGAAGGAGTGCGGTAGGGGAAGAGACGGTAGAAGGGGACTGACTCGTCGAACGTGACGTCCTGGGAGGACAGAACACGACGAGAGCAGGGGTGGTAAAACTGCCACCCTGGGGCGTCAGTGGGGAAGCCAAGGAAGACACAGGGAGCAGCACGAGGGGACAGCTTGTCCGCAGACAAGTCGCGGACAAACGCCCGAGATCCCCAGACACGGAACACAGACGCATCGCCAACCTTCCCCGTCCACAGCAAGGCTGGGGACATCGCAGGCCGAGAGACCCGGGGGTGAAGGTTGAGCTGATGCGCCGCGTACCTCACCGCAAACGGCCACAGAAAATGGGGGGCAGCCGCATGCATCATGGACGTACGAGCGACATCCATGACCATGCCAATGCGGCGCTCAGCAATCCCATTTTGCTGTGGTGAGTCCGGAAGCGTGAAGGTCTGGCGGATCCCCCGTGCACGACAGTAGTCTCGCAGAAGGCGAGAAGAGAACTCTCCGCCTCTGTCAGAGTGCAGACGCAGAACAGGAAAGTCCGAGCCGAAGCTCTTCCTGAGCTGGAGACGAGCCTCGCGGATCCAGTCGATCAGCACCTCAGTGACCGCACCCTTGCTGCGCAAGGGGAGGACTGTGGTGTAACGCGAGTAGTCGTCAACCACCAACAGGAAGTAGCGCTCGTAACCCTGCCCACGGACGGGGGCTGGGCCCCACACATCCATGTGAAGCGTCTGCAGGGGAGCCTCTGTCGGGGGGAAGTGGGAGGAGTGAGGAGTAGCCCGGAGGCGACCCTCGACACAGGGGACACAGGAAGGTCCTGGCCCGGAGGGGAGAGGAGGGAGAGACTGGGGAAGACCAGAGACAAGGACACGGGAAGCCATGCTCCGAAGACGGGGCAAGGAGGGGTGGCCAAGACGGTGGTGCCACAGGAGAGTCTCGTGAGACAGGAGGCGACAAGAACAGGGGGCAGACTCAGGACCTGACCGGGACGCAGCAGCAAGTACCTGACCCGACGCAGCCACCTGACCAGACGTAGGGACAGGAGGAGACTCAACGGTCAGGGTGTAGAGACTCGACCCCGGCCGACGCGAGAACGTGGCCAGGTGTCGGCCTGTGCGTGCCTCCGTGCAGTGGGTCACCCGCTGACTCGCAGGAGTGAACTGGTGAACACCCACATCCTGCAGGTCCGCTCCACTCACCAAGTTCGTAGAGAACGAGGGAAGGTACAGACCCGACAGGGTGCCCGAAGGGGCAGCCGGACACGGGAGGACAGTGGAGAAGTGAGACAGGACAGGACCCCCAGAGGGGTCAGCAAGGGAGACTGCAACAGGCCGGCCGAGCGGCGTAAGGGTAGTGCGGTCTCGAAAGAAGGAGCGAGAAGCTCCGGAGTCAAGTGTGAAAGTGAGGGAGGACGAGGACGACTCAGTACCTGAGAGCGCAGTCTCACCAGTACCTGAGAGCGCAGACGCACTGGCACCTAGAGCAGCAGCCTCACAAGCACCTAGCGCAGCAGTACCAATGCCCGGGTCGGGCTGGAAACAGCGGTAACCCTCATTCTCCTCACTATAATCCACAACATACATAGCAGTAAGGATAGCATCAAAATCAAGATCAAAGATCGCTACACCAGCCCTGAGAAGCTCATCCCAGCGAGGGATCTCACTAGCCCCAGGGAACTGCTGACGCCAGGCGTCCGTCAGGCGGCCAAAGCAGCGCTGGGTGGCGTGGGCACCCCCACACTGCTCACCCGCGCGGTCGCCGGAACGAAGAACGTAGGTGCAGGGACCAGTACCCCCACCCCTCTGACGCCCAGCGTACCACTCACGAAGCTGCTGAGGCGAAGGGATGTCCCGAGAGCGCTGCTGCTGCTGCCGCTGCGAGCGCTGGCCACCACCACCGCCGCTACGCAGCTGGGTACCACCCCGACCAGATCCACCCCCTCCACCACCACTGCCTCCTCCGCTGCCGCCTCCACCGCCTCCACCTCCGCCGCCTCCACCTCCGCCGCTGCCTCCACCACCACCGCTGGCACCACCACCACCGTCTCCGCCGCTGCTGCCACCACCACCACCACCCCCGCCACTAGTCCCGCCGCCACCCCCATTCCCTCCGCCGCCACCGCCGCCACCGCCACCGCCCCCTCCAGCTCCACCCGCGCCCTTGCCCCCCTTGCCCTTGCTGGAGTGACGTCTCCCACTAGGGGCAGACGCCGCGCCGACCGACTCAAGACCAAGCAGGTCGGCAGCAGCAGCAGAGGCAACAGAGGGCAGCAAGGGGGAAGGAGAGCACCCCTCAAAGATGGGGGTGCGAGGGTCACCACGAGAAGCACCTACAGCGACGATGCTCTTCTCCGCTGCGAGGAGGGCCTTCTCGAGGAGGTCGACGGTGAGGGTGGTGGGACAGACTGCGAGAAAGTGGTCCCTGACGACTCGAAGGGAGTCAGGGAGGCGCGCGACTACGTAGTAGAGAGCGATGTACATGGGGGGGGGGTTCTTAGCGCAGAACTCAGCAGGAAGGGCGGCGCGGTAGCGAGTGTCACTAGTGCGGAGGTGCGTAATGAGGTCAGCGACAGTGGGAAAGGCAGAGAGGTCAGGAAAGAGGTAGGGAAGCATGAGACGGCTCAGTGCAGCAGTGGCAGGGGAGGAGTAGCGCGCAACTACAGCGTCGTACAAGGTCTGAGCACTCTTGTACTGACTGAAGTGCGCACGCTCAGAGGTAGGGAGGTGGCGACGCACAGCAAGACGTGCAGCAGCATCGCGGGTGGCCCACTTAGAGCGGACAGCGGGATCAGCATCAGCAGCAGGAGCAGGAGAGGCGCCAGAGGTGAGATCAAAGAGAGAAAGGTCGTCAGCCCTGTCGCACTGTAAGAACAGCTGCAGGTCGTCTAACCAAACCTCAAAATCAATGGCGCGACCCTCAGCGTCAAAAGCTAGGACACTAGGGGTAGCCATGGCGACGACAGCGACGCAGTGCAAGCAGCGAGCAAAGAGCTCGCAGTGTCAGTGGGACTGTGCTCACCAGGCAGGGCAGGTCGTGTAGGTATGCAGAAAGGTGGCTCGAGTGCTGGGCGGCTCGGCTGCTGGGCGGCTCGGGCGCAGGGCGGCTCGGCTCTTGGGCTGCTCGGCGGCTGGGCGGCTCGGGTGCAGGGCGGCTCGGCTCCCGGGCGGCTCGGCGGCAGGGCGGCTCGGGTCCCGGGCGGTTCGGCTGCTGAGGCGGCTCGGCCAGGAGATGCAGGGGCGGGGCCGTCAGGTGCAGCGGCGGGTTGACCGGTGCAGTGGCGGGCCGGCAGGTGCAGCGGCGGGCCGGCAGGTGCAGTGGCGGGCCGGCAGGTGCAGCGGCGGGCCGGCAGGTGCAGGCGGCGGGCCGTAGGGTGCAGTGGCGGGCCGTAGGTGCAGCAGCGAGGCCGGCAGGTGCAGCGGCGAGGCCGTCAGAGGCGGCAGGCCGCTGGGTGCAGCGGCGGGCCGGCAGGTGCAGTGGCGGGCCGGCAGGTGCAGCGGCGGGCCGTAGGGTGCAGTGGCGGGCCGGCAGGTGCAGCGGCGGGCCGGCAGGTGCAGTGGCGGGCCGGCAGGAGAGGCGGCGGAGCCGCGTCAGGGGAGGCGGCAGGGCCGCGTCAGGGGAGGCGGCGGTGCCGCGTCAGGGGAGGCAGGGGAGCCGCGTCAGGGGAGGCGGCAGGGCCGCGTCAGGGGAGGCGGCGGGGCCGCGTCAGACAGGCGGCGGGGCCGCGTCAGGAGAGGCGGCGGAGCCGCGTCAGGGGAGGCGGCGGGGCTGCGTCAGGGGAGGCGGCTGAGCCGCGTCAGGGTAGGCGGCGGGGCCGCGTCAAACAGGCGGCGGGGCCGCGATCAGGAGAGGTGGCGGGGCCGCGTCTGAGGGACAGCGGGGCCGCGAGGGAAAAGGCGACCCGAGGGGGGTCGCTAAAAAAAAAAAGGGCGCGCCTCGGGGCGCACTTCGGTGGGCCCTAAAAAAAACGGTCCTAAGGTAGGACCCGCTCTATACCATGTGAAGTAAAGAAAACAGGAATGAAATGACTAAGGAAAGATTGGGTACAAATACAACCCTAGAAACCCTGTACCCCATATGTGCTACCCCACTATAGCCTACAGCAACTATGTCATATAAATCTGACACCGTTCCCTCAGTACTCCCTCCCGTCACTTCGCCTACGCGACCGTTAAGACCTGAGCACGAAACAATGTCGCCTACTATTCTAAGGGACGAGCTCGTCCGCATCCGTAGGACATTGACGTAGCGTAGTAGACGCGATTGACCGTCAAACTTACCTAGACATCGCAATACATGTTGTAGGGTTGACTCGGCCTAGGACGTTTAGATTAGAAGGTCGACTTTACCTTGATAGGATGGCGCGAACAAAGCAGGGCGTCTCTAAGATCAACAAAGCGCCGGGTGCAGCAGGTCGCGGTCGCGGTGGTGCTCGTGGTAAAGATATAGCTAATGGTGGCGAGAAGAAGCAGATTGGGACGACACCTTTAGAGCTCTGCGGACTGAAAGTGGCCTCAGCGGAGTTTCATCATGAGCAACTTTTAGAGGCGGTTGGAGGAGGCAAGAATGTAGACAAACGTCATGGCGAAGGGAGTTCTGGGGTAAATCGCGACACTCATCGTGACGATAATGTGGAGGACGGGGTTGACGGAGAGGATCGCGAACGGCACGGTGGTGCAGTTGGGGACGATGGCGATGATGACGGTGGTGCTCGCGCGGATGGTGACAAGGATGAGGCGGATGAGGAGATGGTGGCGGCGGAGGAAGCGGAGGGGGATGCCGATGCCGGGGAGGAAGCGGAGGGGGATGCCGATGCCGGGGAGGAAGCGGAGGGGGATGCCGATGCCGGGGAGGAAGCGGAGGGGGATGCCGATGCCGGGGAGGAAGCGGAGGGGGATGCCGATGCCGGGGAGGAAGCGGAGGGGGATGCCGATGCCGGGGAGGAAGCGGAGGGGGATGCCGATGCCGGGGAGGAAGCGGAGGGGGATGCCGATGCCGGGGAGGAAGCGGAGGGGGATGCCGATGCCGGGGAGGAAGCGGAGGGGGATGCCGATGCCGGGGAGGAAGCGGAGGGGGATGCCGATGCCGGGGAGGAAGCGGAGGGGGATGCCGATGCCGGGGAGGAAGCGGAGGGGGATGCCGATGCCGGGGAGGAAGAGGAGGGGGATGCCGATGCCGGGGAGGAAGCGGAGGGGGATGCCGATGCCGGGGAGGAAGCGGAGGGGGATGCCGATGCCGGGGAGGAAGCGGAGGGGGATGCCGATGCCGGGGAGGGTGAGGAGGGGGATGCCGATGCCGGGGAGGAAGCGGAGGGGGATGCCGATGCCGGGGAGGAAGCGGAGGGGGATGCCGATGCCGGGGAGGAAGCGGAGGGGGATGCCGATGCCGGGGAGGAAGCGGAGGGGGATGCCGATGCCGGGGAGGGTGAGGAGGGGGATGCCGATGCCGGGGAGGAAGCGGAGGGGGATGCCGATGCCGGGGAGGGTGAGGAGGGGGATGCCGATGCCGGGGAGGGTGAGGAGGGGGATGCCGATGCCGGGGAGGGTGAGGAGGGGGATGCCGATGCCGGGGAGGGTGAGGAGGGGGATGCCGATGCCGGGGAGGGTGAGGAGGGGGATGCCGATGCCGGGGAGGGTGAGGAGGGGGATGCCGATGCCGGGGAGGAAGCGGAGGGGGATGCCGATGCCGGGGAGGGTGAGGAGGGGGATGCCGATGCCGGGGAGGGTGAGGAGGGGGATGCCGATGCCGGGGAGGAAGCGGAGGGGGATGCCGATGCCGGGGAGGGTGAGGAGGGGGATGCCGATGCCGGGGAGGGTGAGGAGGGGGATGCCGATGCCGGGGAGGAAGCGGAGGGGGATGCCGATGCCGGGGAGGAAGCGGAGGGGGATGCCGATGCCGGGGAGGAAGCGGAGGGGGATGCCGATGCCGGGGAGGAAGCGGAGGGGGATGCCGATGCCGGGGAGGAAGCGGAGGGGGATGCCGATGCCGGGGAGGAAGCGGAGGGGGATGCCGATGCCGGGGAGGAAGAGGAGGGGGATGCCGATGCCGGGGAGGAAGCGGAGGGGGATGCCGATGCCGGGGAGGAAGCGGAGGGGGATGCCGATGCCGGGGAGGAAGCGGAGGGGGATGCCGATGCCGGGGAGGAAGCGGAGGGGGATGCCGATGCCGGGGAGGAAGAGGAGGGGGATGCCGATGCCGGGGAGGAAGAGGAGGGGGATGCCGATGCCGGGGAGGAAGCGGAGGGGGATGCCGATGCCGGGGAGGAAGAGGAGGGGGATGCCGATGCCGGGGAGGAAGCGGAGGGGGATGCCGATGCCGGGGAGGAGAGGAGGTGTACACCGGATTCGGAGGAGGGGAGCGGTGACGACTCCGAGGAGGAGGTGTACACCGGTGACAGAGAGGAGGCGGAGGACGACAACGCTGAGGACTACGACGATTTGGAAGAGGAAGGGATGGAGGATACATAGGGAGATGGGCGGGAGAGAGCTAAAAAGAGGAGACGGGGTGGAAATGGGAAGGGTAAGAAGGCAGCAGGCGGTCGAGGTGGGGTGGGGGAAAGGGGTCGGCCGGGGGAAAGGGGGTGGGCGAGGGAGAGGGAGGGGGTGTGGTAGTTCCGGTATTCGAGGGGGAGGGTAGATTCGGAGGGAAGACACTTCCGAGGATGGTGTTGCCACCCCATCCGTGCACTCTAATGCCACACCACCCAAGCCCAAGGTTCTGACGGGGTACGTCACCCGATGTTTTGAGAAGATTCCTGAGCATCCGAAGGAGAAGCGTCGATGTCGCAAGTGCAATATGGAGATCTCCTTTGCCGGAACCAACTACACGACCGGCAGGACTCACATGCAAGGGCAGCACCTCAACCACTGGATCATATGGTTGCGGAAGTTCCATGGTGGGGAGGTGGGCCAAAACGACCACTTCCTAGAGGGGGCGTATGGGATTGACGATGAGGTTCCGGACGGGGGCGTGAAATGGGTAGGCGCAGACACTTGGCCAGCGCCGCCCACTGAGGGGGTGCTAGCGAGGAAGGGGCAGCAGCTGATCACGCAGACCTACCCCAAGCGCTTCGACAAGGACTATCTGCAGCACGCCATGTGCGAGTGGGTGGTCGCCACCGACCAGGCAATCACTGTGGTGGAACACCCGACGGTGAGCTCACCACCATACCACCACCACCCCCTTCTTAACCACAAACCAGCAGTGATTGTCCCGTAGATCGTCATTCAGTGTGCTGCTACTTATGTACCCACCCCCCACACCCCTTCTCGATGGCAATTTTGCAATATGATGGCGGCCGCCAATCCCGAGTGTGCCGTGGAGAAAGTGATTCCCTCGCGCTCCACCCTAGCCCACCAAATCATCCGACTGGCAGGGCTGGCAAGGATCAAGCTCATGGAGATGCTTCCTGCTGACGGGGTAGGGGCTGTTGCACTTATGCATGACATATGGACCGGTGAGAATCAACGGTCATATATATCAGTGACAGGTCACTGCGTGAATGAGAAGTTTGAGCTGATGCAGATAACCCTCGACTTCCATGCTATGCCTGGCAAGCACACTAGCGCGAGGATCATCGAGGTGCTGCTCGATGTGGTGAAGGAGTGGAACACGGAGAAGCGGTGCATTGCCGTGACATCCGACAACGTGTCGGCCAATGTCGCAGCGATGGAGTTCCTTTGCCGTGGGGGGCCAACCGACCGTCACCCGCCCTTGTTCTTCTCCGAGATGCACGTCAGGTACTTTAAGTTGCTTTACCTCTCGCACACATGGTGGCTCTGTGCCGTGTTGTATGTGTGTGCGTGAAGTACTCGTGATTATTCCCGTGTGTGCACCTTCTCTTGCAATCATGCAACCCGAACACCAGGTGCATGGGCCACATTTGCAACCTAGCAATCCAGCTAGGGCTGAAGACAGCGCTCGATATCAAGGAGCCGCTAGGGATCGTTAGAGACCTAGCGTCCTTCATTGGGTTATCGCCCAAGAGGACAACCCTGTTCGAGAAGATCCAGAAGCGTGCTGATGAGAAGGCGAGGATATTACGTCTTCGCGGGGACAATGAGGTGCGGTGGGGCTCGACCTACCTCATGCTCGAGCGTGTGCTTCGACTTCGAAGTGTCATCGAGACCTTCTACCGCAAAGCTCCAGTAAGCAAGTAGATGGGCTGAGGCATAGCGGCTGGCTGTGGTGTCTTTCCCACTGAGCTTTGGTGTGTGCTGCTGCAGAATGTTTACCATCAAACCACATCTGCTCCGTCCCCATACCTACCACATCAATACTGTCTTTTGTTTGTCCACTAACATTTTGCCCCAACAGGCAATTCTCACCGCAAGGATGCCAAGCGCCTCCAGGCCCTCACCCTCTCCTCGGAACAGTGGTTGGCTTTGGAAGAGCTTGCGGCCTTCCTTAAGCCATTCCATGCCGTGAGCCTCGCCGCCGAGGGGTCCAAGCACCCCACGATCTCCAGGGTTGTCCCGCTGTTCAATGAACTGTTGGACGGCCTAGACACCCTCAAAAACAGTGTGTCCTCCCCCCCATCAGGGGTCATGAAGGACTGCATCACTAAGGCAGAGGAGAAGCTGATGGAGTACCACTCGAGCAGCAGTGATGAGCTTTGGGTTGCCACCTTTCTTGACCCAAGCTTCAAGATTGGGTACTTCGAGATGAATGGTGAGGGGGGAGAGGAGAGTGAGAGGCCGGGGGGGGTACAGCATGTTGTAGCGGAAAGGGTGCTCGCCTTGGTACGGGCGAAGTTGGTACCGTACAAGGCAAAGGCGGTGGCGGCCAGGGAGAAACGGGAGAGGGCAGAGGGGGCTGGTCGTGGTGCACGCGGAAGGGGAGGGGAAATTCATCAGGAGGGAGCTCCTCTGGCCGGGGGGATGGAGCTGGCAGAAAGGGGGGTGCTGCAGGCGGCCGCCCAGCCATCGATTCATTCGGTGGTGTAGACGGGGACAGACGGAGCTTGAGGGCAAGATTAGAGGAGTACCTTAGCCGCCAGGAGGAGTCCGTCAGGGACGAGGTGCAGATTTACATCGATGAGCGATTGGAGCCTTTGGGGACCTGTCCCCTATCGGATTGGCGCCACAGGAATGACCTTGAGGGGTTTCAGGCTATGGCCCTAGACTACCTCGCCATACCAGCAACGTCGGCTGCGAGTGAGCGCAACTTTTCGCGTGGCCGCAATCTAATCACATGGCAGAGGCATAGCCTGGTACCTGAGCGCGTCCGAGCATGTATGATTCTCAAGTCCTGGGTGGACTTGAACACAGGGTGCAAGTTGGGGAAGGCGGCGGCGAAACGGCTAGAGTTGGCGGAGGCGGATGCCGTAGGGGTGGAGATGGATGAAGAAACACCGAAATGATGGTGTGGGGTGGACTGGTTTGTGGTAAGGGATGGGGGGGGATGACATGGGCTGGTGTGTGTGGGAGGAAACCTAGCAGGGCACTATCTATTGCTTGAGATCACTTGATGCTTACGCTCACCAGGGCGCAAGACCTGGCCTACGTTAAATTATTATGTGGGTAGTTAGAATAGTTGGTGACTCTCATGAATCCGTAGGGTTGTGAAAACACACATGCGTTCCCCTGGTGGCTTGCCTGCGAGGTCTGTCCAGGTCTAAGCAGGCTTCCATGGGCTTACCTAGGTAGCCCAAGGGTACCCAGGGGTGACCCAGGCCAGGGATTTCCTGGGCTTCCCTAGGCCACCATGGAGCACCTTGGATTTACCTCACCAGCCCTGGAAACCCAAATACTACGTGGTACCAATGGACTTCACTAGGCGTTATGTACAAAGTCGTTCTACGCCCCTATATGGGGCATGGCCGAGCATTACTCGTACTCAGACGAGTTTTTCAAATTGCTCGCCCGAATTTCCCTAAAGAGGGCGAGTAACCAGTATCTGTTTGGGGGAAAATTGCTCGGTCGAGTATTATGTAAGAACATTATAGCTTATACATTTGTGTAGGGTGTAGTGGGGTAGCCCATAAGGGGTACAACCCAATTAGGGTTAGTACTTGTACCCAACTCTTTCATAGTTCATTCATTCTCGTTTCTCATCATGGTATCGAGCAGGTTCCCGAGTGGGAATGCTGCCTAGGGCCCACCACGATTTTTTTTTCCTGCCCGGTGCGCGCTTCACTCCTACCCGAGTCGCGTTTCGTGTGCCCTACCTACCCACGAGCCGCCCTTAGTGGCCCCTTTGGCCGCCCTTACGGCCCCTCGCGCCGCCCTTACGGCCCCTTACGGCCCCTCGCGTCGCCCTCTAAGGCCCCTTACGGCCCCGCCTAGGCCCCTTACGGCCCCTCCGCGGCCCCGTCTAGGCCCCTTGCGGCCCCGTCTAGACCCCTCCGCGGCCTCGTCTAGACCCCTCCGCGGCCCCGTCTGGCCCCTTACGGCCCCTTACGGCCCCGCCTAGGCCCCTTACGGCCCCTCAGCGGCCTTGTCTAGGCCCCTTGCGGCCCCGTCTAGGCCCCTCCGCGGCCCCGTCTGGCCCCTTGCGGCCCCGTTTCGGCCCCTCTGCGGCCCCGCTTAGGCCCCTCTGCGGCCCCGTTTGGCCCCTTTACGGCCCCGTCTAGGCCCCTCCGCGGCCCCGACTTAGACCCCCCTTTCGGCCCCCTCTGCGGCCCCGCCGCCACACGCGGCCCTGCCGCCACCTGCGGCCCCACCGCCACCTGCGGCCCCGTCGCCGCCACCTACGGCCCTGTCGCCATCACCCGCGGCCCCGTCGCCCTACCCTAGCGGCCCCATCACCGCTCCGCCGCCCAGCGACCGAGCCGCCGAGCAGCACAGCAGCCGAGCCGCCCGCCTACCGAGCAGCCGAGCCGCCCACCAGCTGAGCCGCCCCGGAGCCGAGCCGCTGAGCAGCCGAGCCGCCAAGCAGCCAAGCTGCCCTGCCGCCGAGCCGCCCAGCAGTCGAGCCGCCCAGCAGCCGAGCCGCCCTGCAACCGAGCCGCCCTACCGTCCAGCCGCTGAGCCGCCCTACTCTCTAGCAGCTGCTGTTCCTACCGGTGCTCCCCGGCCCCTCCTTCCTCGGACTGGTGAGCTCACTTCCTCCTAGGCCACTGCAGTCATGGCTACCCCCAGTGTCATCACTTTTGATGCTGAGGGCCGTGCCGTTGACTTTGAGGTCTGGGTCGATGACCTCCAGATGTTTCTTCAGCGTGATAAGAAAGACGGCCTCTCCCTATTTGACCTAAAATCTGGTGCCTCTCCTGCCCCTGCTGCTGATGCTCACGCCACTGTTCGCTCACAGTGGGACACGCGTGATGCTGCTGCTCGCCTTGCTGTGCCCCACCACTTACCCACCACTGAGCGTGCACACTTTAGCCAGTACAAGAGTGCTCAGACCTTGTACGTCGCTGTAGTTGCATGCTACTCTTCCCCTGCCACTGCTGCACTGAGCCGCCTCATGCTACCGTACCCCTTCCCTGACCTTGCTGCCTCTCCCACAGTCGCTGACCTCATTACGCACCTCCGCACTAGTGACACTCGCTACCGCGCTGCGCTTCCTGCTGAGTTCTGCGCGAAGAACCCCCCCCCCCCCCCATGTACATCACCCTCTACTACATAGTCACCCGGCTCCTTGACTCTCTACGAGTAGTCAGGGACCACTTCCTCTCAGTTTGCCTCACCAGTCTCACCGTTGACCTCCTCGAGAAGGCCCTCCTAGCAATAGAGAAGAGCATAGTCGCTGTAGGAGCCTCTCGTGGTGACCCTCGCACCCCCGTCTTTGAGGGGTGTTCTCCCTCCCCCCTCTTGCCCTCTGTTGCCTATGCTGCTGCGCCCGACCTCGATGGTTTTGAGTCGGTCGGCGCTGCGTCTGCCCCGAGCGGGAAACGCCGCACCGGCAGGGGCAAAGGGGGCAAGGGCATTGGAGGGGCTGGAGGGGGCGGTTGAGGTGGTGGTGGAGGCAGTGGAGGGAGTGGGGATGAAGGTGGGAGTGGTGCCGGGGGTGGCGGCGGCGGCGGCAGTAGTGGAGGAGGCGATGGCGGTGGAGGTGGCGAAGGGAGCGGAGGCGGCAGAGGTGGCGGAGGAGGCGGAGGTGGAGGAGGCGACGGAGGTGGCAGCGGCGGCGGCGATGGTGGAGCGGGTTGCGACTCTGCGCAGAGGAGTGGCTCTGGTGGTTGTTAGCGCCACCAGCAGCGGAGTGGTGTGACCCTGTCCCCTCAGCAGCTTCGTGAGAGGTACAATCCGCGTCAGCGCGGTGGGGGTTTTGGTCCCTGCACTTACGTCCTCCGTACCGGCGACCGGGCTGGTAAGCAGTGCGGAGGCCCGCACTCCACATAGCGCTACTTTGGTCGCTTGACGGACGCGTGGCGTCGCAGTTCCGTGAGGCGTCAAAGATCCCTCGCTGGGGAGATCTGTGTAAGGCCGAGGTTGCTATCTTTGATCTTGATTTTGATGCTATTCTTGCTGCCATGTATGCTGTTGATACTAGTGTTGTGGGTGACTGTTACCTTTGTGTACCACCTGACCCGGGCATTGAGGCCGCTGCTCTAGGTGTTGGTGAGGTTGCTGCTCTAGGTGCTAGTGCGTCTGCTGCCCCAGGTGCCAGAGCGTCTGCTACTCCAGGTGCTAGTGCGTCTGCTGCCCCAGGTGCTGGTGAGTCTGCTCTCTCAGGTACTATGTCGGCTCAGGCCTTCCACACCTTCACCCTGGACTCGGGTGCGTCCCGCTCCTTCTTTCGAGACCGCACCACTCTTACGCCGCTCAGTCGGCCGGTTGCAGTTTCCATTGCAATCCCCTCTGGGGGTCCTATCCTTGCTAGCTTCTCCACTGTCCTACCGTGCCCGGCAGCCCCTCTGGCACCCTGTCTGGTCTCTACCTCCCCTCCTTCTCTACGAACTTGGTGAGTGGAGCGGACCTACAGCATAGGGGGGTTGACCAATTCACTCCTGCGAGTCAGCGAGTGACCCACTGCACGTGTGCTCCGACAGGCCGACACTTGGCCACGTTCACCCGTCAGCCAGGGTCGAGCCTGTACACCCTTACTACTGAGTCTCCTCCTGCTGCTTAGTCTTCCCAGGTAGCTGCGTCGAGTCAGGTGTTTGCTGCGGCGTCCAGGTCTGGTTGTGAGTCTGCCCCCTGCTCGTGTCGTCTGCTGTCCCACCAGAATCTCCTTTGGCACCACCGCCTTGGTCACCCCTCCCTACCTCGTCTCCGAGGCATGGCCTCCCGGCCTCTGGTCTCCCTTGGTCTCTCCCTCCCCTTCCTCCGGGGCCTGGCCCTACCTGCGTCCCCTGCGTCGAAGGGCGACAGCGCGCCGCCCCTCACTCCTCCAAGTTTCCTCCGACAGAGGCTCCGCTGCAGACTCTCCACATGGACGTGTTGGGCCCAGCCCGCATCAGTGGGCAGGGGCAAGGGCGGTACTTTCTACTGGTGGTTGATGACTACTTCCGTTACACCACAGTCTTCCCCTTGCGCAGCAAGGGTGACGTCAGTGAGGTGTTGATCGACTGGATCCGCGCAACTCGTCTCCAGCTCAGAGAGAGTTTCGGCTCGGACTTTCCTGTTCTGCATCTCCACTCGGACAGAGGCGGAGAGTTTTCCTCTGCCCGTCTGGGAGCCTTCACTCATGCACAGGGCATCCGCCAGACCTTCACGCTTCCGGCCTCTCCACAGCAAAATGGGATTGCTGAGCGCCGCATTGGCATGGTCATGGACGTCGCTCGTACGTCCATGATGCATGCGGCTGCCCCCCATTTTCTGTGGCCGTTTGCGGTTCAGTACGCCGCGCATTAGCTCAACCTTCAGCCCCGTGTCTCCTTACCAGAGACCTCCACCGCCTTGTGGTGGACCAGGAAGGTTGGCGATGCGTCTGCGTTTCGGGTCTGGGGATCTCGGGCGTTTGTCTGCAACTTGTCTGCGGACAAGCTGTCTCCCCGTGCTGTTCCTTGCGTCTTCCTTGGCTTCCCCCCTGACGCGCCTGGGTGGCAGTTTTACCACCC